CATGTCCAAACCACTGTCTCTCCTCTGGACATGTCCAAACCACTGTCTCTCCTCTGGACATGTCCAAACCACTGTCCCTCCGCTGGACGTGTCCAAACCACTGTCCCTCCTCTGGACATGTCCAAACCATCTCAGTGTGTCCTCTCTAACTTTATCTCCCAGTTGTTCAACCTGTGCTGTACCTCTGATGATCTCATTCCTGATCTTCTCCATCCTTGTCTCTCCTAAGGAGAACCTCAACATCTTCATTTCTGACACTTCCAGTTCTGTCTCCTGTCTTTTTGTCCATGTCTCTGTCTGCAGACCATACAACATAGCTGGTCTCACCACTGTCTTGTAAACTTTTCCTTTGACCTTTGACCTTTACTGACACCCTTTTGTCTCAAGTCACTGCTGAAACTTTCCTCCATCACTCCTGGACTCTCTTCTTCTCCTCTTCACCACACTCCCCATGTTCCTGGACAGTGGACCCCAAGTCCTTGAAGTCCTGCACCTTTGTGACCTCTGCTCCTTGTAGCCTCACTGTTCCACCTCCTCCCTCTCATCCACACATGGACTCTGTCTTACTACGACTGACTTTCATTCCTCTTCTGTCAGGTGCATACCTCCACCTCTCCATGTTCTTGCAAAATGCTACCCAATAACTAAGAAGAGTAAAAAAAACACTTTACTTTAAAGAATGCAAGGTTTACAAAAATGTAAGGTAAAAAGTAAAAGTAGTAAAACACTATCTGAAATCTAAAAGTACAAGTACAAGAGCTAAAAGTGGCAAAATGCCATCGTAACTGCAGAAGTTTTGAAACACAATGGTAATTATTAGCTAATAGTAGCAAAAAGCTTTCTAAAATGTAAAAGTAGCAAAATGTCAACTAAAGGTTGTAAAAATACTAAAAGCTAAAAGCAACAGTATCTAAAAGTAGCAAGCAGTAGTTAAAAGCTAAAAGTAGCATGAGAGGACAAAATAAAGCAAGTCTTCTATTTTAAAAAGATCATTGAAGGAAATAAAGAGATCTCAGTGTTTCCATGGTGAAACTTTTAGTAATTAAAATTAAAGTGTGTGAAAAGTATAAAAGTTACAAAAATATTTTTTTCCACAGCTAGGATTTCCTGGAAGAGCGTTTTGACATTGAAATGGATAAAAAGTTGTGCAAAATGTGCATGAAATAAAGTGAAGTGAAAGCTCGGTTCATCTCCCCACCGTTGAATAAGGAGCTCAGTGTCAGCCCCAGCTCAGGGTCCTGCAGCTCAGTCCACAGGACAGAACCACATTCTTACGGGTTCTTCTCTTTAGTCTTCTTCTTTCATGCCCCTCCTTCTCACGTTGATTTCTCCCATTAACCCTTTTCCTATATTTGCCTCTTCATGGTCCCCCTTCTTCTTTCCTAATTTGTCTCTTCATCTCTGCTCAAAAACACAGAACTGAACCTTCAGCCAAAATCCAAACAAAGGTTTCCATCTTGATGCTTCCATCCAGGTTCAGAGGAGCTGAAGTCACAGACCCACGAGTGAATCGTTCTGCCTCCTCTCTCAGCTCGTTCTTCCTCTGACACCCGATCCTGTCCTCAGTGAGTCCTCAGAGACCTGTGACGCTGAAGCACTCAGGTTACCCTCCTCTTCATCACTGGTCTCAGGTAAACAACCTGGCGAGCTCACTGAGCCAGGATCAGTTGGTGAGCCTCCTGCACGTATGCTTCATTATTCACAAAGCAGTAAGAGGACATGTGCAGGGAAACTGTTCTTATGGTAAATGTTTGTCCTGACTCACACAGACATAAACTTTTTGAACTAGTTCAAGCTCAGTTTGTGGAAGTTACACCTGGATCACTTTTAGGTTTTTAGCTTTTAGCTGCAAGTTAGCAGCTATGTCTTTTACAGCTGAACCCTAAAAAACACTAAGAGGCCTGTAACTCAGTCAATTTACAAAGATTGACCTAAAATTTAGTCTTAGCAGCTGA